GATCAGGTCAGATAGAGGAGTAAAACAAGGATGTATCTTGGCACCTCTTTTATTTAATATTTACATCAATGACATGGTACAGTTTTTGTACAAACCTGAATTTCATCCTCCAAAGCTTGCAGATAGACATATCTCGATTTTACTTTATGCAGACAATGCCGTCTTGCTTGCTAGGACCCCTAAGGGACTTAAGAGAGCAATGTCTGCTCTTATGCAATATTGTAATCAGAACTGCTTAGAGATAAATTATATGAAGACTAAAATAATGGCTTTTGCCAATAGGCCTAGGATGTTTAAATGGGTTACTGACTCTCGTACCATTGAACAAGTTTGTTGCTATAAATACCTTGGAGTTGTATTTCAGTCGTCCGGTCATATGAAAGGCCATGTTGATTACCTGTCAGCTAATGCAAAGAAAAGTGCTGGAGCTATTCAAAGGTTCTTCTGGTCCAAAGGAGGTCGTAACTTAGAAGCTGCCATTAAGTTATTCACTATAAAGGTATTACCCAATTATTATATGGAGCTCCTTTGTCTCTCCTGACAAATTTGACCTTATTTGAAAGAACACAATCAAAATTCTTAAGAGCTATTTTTCAAGTTCCAACAAGCGTTTCAAATGCTGCAATCCGTTTAGAGTCTGGCCTGGTTATGGTCGAGGCAAAATTGTGGATTGCTGCATTTTATTATTGGTTAAAATTGATTTTTTTACCCATTGGCCTTTCCCATACTATAATGCAAGATAACTTTGTTCTTTTATGGCGGAAAAAAGATAGAAGATAAACTGGTCTGTTATGGTTTTTCAAAACAGTTTATACTGTCTTTGGGACATGATCAGGCTAGATCAATTCTGAAACAAAGAATATCAGATGTTGAATGACAGATGGACATGAGTAGGATTAGGAGTCCTGTATTTGATGTAAGTACACTTAACAAGATAGTTGTGAGATCTTACATCAAGTATTTAGATATCAGCAATCATATAAGAATTTTTACCTTATTAAGATACAATGCTTTACCTTCAGCCATAATGGAGGCCAGATTTACTAGATCATTGAGGAAAAGTTGTATATGTGGGACAGCATCTGATGAAATATTGGAACATGTAATTTTCTATTGTCTTCTATATCATAATATCAGGGAAGTTTTGATCAAGCCTATAGTTAACTCCTTTCCAGGTCGTAATAGAAGGATACTTTTGTCAATTATGCTGGCAGGAGATAATCAAAAGCTGACTAGGATGGTTGCCAAATTGGCCCGTATGCCCGGGGCCTTGGTTGGTTGGCATACCAAACTAGGAAAGAGATAAAGTTCAGATAGGCCTAAACCTAACTTTTGATCATAATTTTGACTTTATTATTTCTGTATTTCTGTATTTTAAAGTTTTTAGATCCTTATTTATAATTTTAGATGCCATTATATTTTATAATTTTACTGCTCTCTTAACTGTACTTACTTGTCTTCTACTATACTGGTCTATGACCATAATAAACTTGATTGAATTGAGTCCAATACATGGATGGTCGGTATCGGTGGAGGGACTTGGGCCTCTGATATCGATACTGCCGTTGGAGCGTGAGGCACTATAGGAGCATCACCCAGTGCAGGTACCACTTCTTTCCCCTTCTTTGCCACCTTAAGGGACTTAGAGGTGCCCTTCTTCGCGAATTTATGCTCTGTACTTGCCTTAGCCTTCTTTTTGACTGGCGTGGAGGTGGACGATCGTGCCTTTGATGTCGAGGGCTTCAGTGTCGGGCAGTTGACATCGGAGGCAGGTCTCGATGCTGGAGCTGTCGATGTAGACGGTCTCTCCTCCATCGCTGAGGCAGGAGCAAGTGCTGATTCAAGCAGTGCCACTTTAAGGCGTGCAGTACGGTTTTTCCTCGTTTGGTTAGAGAAATGTGCACAGTGACGACAAGACTCTGGTTTGTGAGATTCGCCGAGGCAAAAAATGCAGAGAGTATGATGGTCGGGAGGAGCAAGTTTGCTACCACAACGTTTGCATCTATTGAAAAATCCCCACTTCTTCTCCATAAAGAAGAGAAGTGGAGGGAATGGTTGTGAGGGGGGGGTAGCCCGAAGGCCTGAGGTAAATTCCCCTCAGAAGAAAATAAAGTGGGTTTTTTTTAATTTTGAAGAACAAACAACTAAAACAGAAAAAACAAAGTATGGAAATAATTCCTAAGAGCTTGAGCTGTGAGGTAAAAGCTAACAGCGAACCGATCAGACTGACGAAGAAAGAGGTCTTTCCAACGCGGCGGTAAGAAAGAAACTGGTGGGATGTCTGCGCCCACCCCTCTGAGCATGCGTGGCGGGGTTCCTGTGCATGCCCGAGGGACTGGGCGCAAAAATCCATTAAAAAATAGCTTGCTACAGCACCGCTCGATTCACCGCGTGCGCACTAGATCCCATGGGTGTGAAGCACAGAGACCACGTCGAAGATCTAGCAGTGCACAGTGCAGACTGGCTGCATCTTATGACAACATAAACTTACCTCCCATCCATCTATCCTTGAAGTTGCTGTACAGCCCTTTTGAATTGACTTTCCATTTTTATATATAAAAATTGAAGCAACACCGAATAAATTTTCATACCGTACTTCATACTTTTTTTAAAGGGAGACAGCTGATCAGAAGACTGGGGGAATTGCAAATGAACAGCGAAACCGCATTCGGATTACTGGGTAGTGGGGAGAAGTTGGCCTTACTTTGTAAGGAAAGAACAATTTTTTTAAACATGCATTCATAGACACTAACCACATTGATTAATAATAGTTACTTCACGGAAGCTTTCCTTCTGTGATATTATCTAAAACATGACTTATTTCCAGCTGCTTCTGAAGCCCTGAGGGATAGTCATTGCGGTTAATGTAGATTGCCTAAATTGTCAGTTTTTGCTTTAGTATGTAGAACACAATATATATTCGTTGTCAGTGTGTTATATCATAGTACAGAAAATTATGTACTTTGCATATACATAACATGAGCTTTACCATACAGTGAGGCTCAAATGAACATCTAAAGAAACCCAAGTAACCTTCATAGTTGTGAAAATGTAAAAGTTCAAGACTTTTCATATATCAAATTCAAGAATATAAATTCAACAATATAGCATAACAAAGATAGTTTTGATTTTCAGCCTCAACTTACTTGTACATGCAGTTGGTTCAGGGAATCGTGTCCCATAATATCCACTGGGACAGGAAGTAAGACACACCCCTATCTGTCTCATGCCAATCCTTTCCAGGAAAAAAAAGAGTCGGGGTTTACATGTCAGGCATCCATTGTATTCAGAACATGTTGCGCATCCTCCTGGACAAGGTTGGCTCATGTTGGGATTCACTAAGAAGAAGAAAACATTAAATAAGAAGAAAATGTCACTTAGAATATCTTTTTTAAATAACATTTTTTATAAATATGAATAAACATACAATAGTATAATAACTATATACATTATACAAGTAAAAACAAGAAGTATCATAGCATCAATAAGGAAGAAGAAACTAAACAACTTCCTTTTAAGACAAATATAACTGATCTACATTAGCGTTAATTCAGAATGTCTACCAAAACTAGAGATCAGGTTTCCATTAATTGTTTATGTCTCAGTTTAGCTCTTAATTGTGCAGTCAGTTTAACAATGAATAATAAAATCCATATCCTTTGTAACAATTGTCATTGATTTCCAGAGTTTGGTAAACACAAGTCTTTTGTGACATGTAGATGTAAATCAAAATCATATAAAGATAACTAAAACTAAAGGTTTGATAGAATTTAGTATGGAAAATACATCCCTACTTGTATTCTGCTAATTTGGCAATGTTGATCCATACCACAGTGATCCTGAGGCTGCACTATTGTCTTTATTTATTTATTTCCCTTATTTATACCACACTTTTCTCCCCAATGGGGCCTAGTGTGACTTATAACATTCCCCCCTCCTCCACTGTAACCTCACAATAAGCCTGAAAGCAGGGGTCATTTCGTAGAAAAAGAGGTGCAGGAGCTCATTAGCATCTCATTAGCATAACTTATTTGCATATGCCACACCCCCTGACATCACTGGAAGTGTGTCAGAAGGCAATACCCATCACTCAGGCTCCACTGGACTCTTTTGGATTGCTAGCTATGGAGGGGATGCGCAGATCTGCCCTCACAGAAGAGGGAGAGCTTGTACCTGAATAAACCTTGGCCATAAAGGTGCCACTGGACTGTTTTGGATTGCTATGGGGGGGGGGCCTCTGCAACTTACCTGGCTGCTTCTTGCTCCTTGTGGCCCGGGGCTGCTGGGAGCAGGGGGTGGGGATTGTTGCATGTGCCCGCCCCCGGGCTCTTTACTGCTAGAACTCCACTCCTGTGTGCTCTGGCAGGAAATGACCCCTGGGCCTTAGAAGAGCACGTAAATTATTTTCTAAATACTGCCATAACAATAGTTTAGAGATAAATTACTCCAAAACCAAGGTAATGGTTTTTGCTAAAAGGTCACCAAAATCTTATCACTGGACTCTAAATTCCTCCTCTATAGAACAGGTTTCCAGTTTCAACTATCTGGGGGTTTTGTTCCAGGAAAACGGCTCAAGATCTAGCAATATAATCATGGCAACATTAAAGGCTAGCAGGAGTGCTGGGGCTATCCAGAAATTTTATTGGCACAAAGGGGGTAAATGCGTAATAGCAGCCCTCCATTTGTTCAAGGCCAAATCTCTTAGCCAACTCACTTTTGGTGCCCCTTTTAATATCACTTCAAATTTTAAAAAAACTGGAGACCGTTCAATCTAAGTTTCTGAGAACAGTCCTCCAAGTCCCCCCCTGGTACTTCAAATGCCTTGATCAGAATAGAAACAGGCATGATCCTGGTGGAGATAAGGCTTTGGATGCTGGCCATTCAATACTGGCTGAAACTTTCATTTTTTCCTAGTTGGTTGGCAAGTTTAATTTTCCAGGATACCTTTGTCCCGCCTTGGCTATGGGCCATTCGAAAAAAAAAACTTTCTCACCTTGGCCTCTCAAAACAATTTCTTAGCTCTCTCACATATGACAAAGCGAGAGAGTTAGTGAGACAGAGAATCCAGGACATAGCTAGACAGGAGGATCTTACCAGCTGATGCAAATGGCGAGCCCTCTTAGAACCGCTATATAAGGTAGTGCCTATGCCCTATCTTTTTTATTTAGAAAATCATGAGTTAAAGAGAATGTTTACCCTCATGAGGTCGGATGTGCTCCCCTCAGCAGTTACAGAGGGGAGGTTTAATAATAATAAAAAAACCCTGCTGATCGTATATGTCCCTGTTGCAGTGACGGAATTGAAACTTTAATGCATGTTATATATGACTGCAGGGCATATAGCCACTTTCGTTATATTCTCCCACTGTCTACAACTACTCTATCCTCAACTAGTCAAAAGATGCAATTGCTGAAGAACCTCCTAGAAAGTAGGTGCCCCAAGGTTACAGCTAAAGTTGCCAAATTTGGCTGGTTAGCTGTAAGGACTAGAAAGCTGCTAGTGAAAGGCAAATAGATGTAATTTGCTATAGGACTTAACATGTTTTACTTGCATGCGCTATTCGATACTTCATTTTATTATTTATGTTGTGGTTTTATGAATTTTGACAAATTTAGTTTGACTACTGTATTAGAGTGCTGGCTTTTGCTGTGAATAGATTTGATTTGATAACCCCCCCCCTCCAGCCGCAATTCCGAAATCTTAATGCCATGGAAAATTGCTATATAATGCAGAGGCAGGCACTTGCTGGTGCTGCCATCAGAACAAAGCTGATTTTTATCATACGTGGTAGGTATGAAATAAGGCTGTTTTATTTTGGAATATGATAAGACATAATATTTTAGAAATGTGAAGAATTTCACTCCCCTCTGATCCCAAGACTTTTAAACCATTTATTTATTTATGTAAAGTTTTTCTTGCCTGACTTTTTCCCAAAGCAACTGAAGGTGGAATACAGTATAACAACACATGCAGAGGTCTCTGGAGAGATGACATATAACTTCTCCAAGTAAACAGTGAATAAATAATAAGCAATATTAAAAAAACAATTGCAACTGATAACGAAGCTCAAGACAGTGCATCCACTTGGACTAAATCAAGACCTAGGTTTCCTGACACATTATCAGTGTTGATTTCTCGACACCTACTACCTCTCTGCATATCACACCTAATCCAGTCACACCTTCTGTTGTCATTTGCCTGCTTATGTCATTTGGTATCTGAAATCGCTCCACTTTCTAATATATAGGACAGATGGACGCACATTCTAGCTGTATCTGAAGAAGTGAGCAGTGACTCACAAAAGCTTATACCCTTCAGCAAATTTTGTTCATCTTTAAGGTGCTGTCCATCTTCAAGCAATATTAAAACAAACAGATAAGAATAAAACAAAATCTAAAAACATAGTCAATGAGCCATAAACCATAAATCCCCCTTAACTCAATTACAAGGGTATTTTAAATAATTTTCTTTTACAGTGGTACCAGAATGTTAACATTATGGGGCAATTTCTGACTTCTTTAGAAGAAGAAGGAGGGGATTGGATTTATACCCTGTCCTTCACTTGGAGTCTCAGAGTGGCTTACAAACTCCTTTCCCTTCCCCTCCCCACAACAGACACACTGTGAGATGGGTGGGGCTGAGAGAACTCTGACACAAACTGCTCTTTCAGGAACAGCTGTGCCAGAGCTTGTGACTGACCCAAGGTCACATCAGCAGGTGCAAGTGGAGGAGTGAGGAATCAAACCCGGTTCTCCCAGATTAGAGTTCGCGCACTTAACCACTACACCAAACTGGCTCTTTAGGAAGGCCTATTGCATACCCCAGCAGTGCAACTGAGAAATCACTAGGCCATATGGACAGTGTCCAGACTTGTCCACAGGCTGACACCTGAAACAGGCATTGATTACAACTGCCACAGAGAACAAAGTTTGGGTCCAGTGGCACCTTTAAGACCAACAAAGTTTTATTCGAGGTATATGCTTTCATGTGCACACATACTTCTTCAGATACAAAGAAATGGAGATTAGCAGTCTATGCATATAGGTAGAGTAGAGGGTGAGCAGTAAATTAACAAATTCAAGGACCAAAGAGGAATAACAAACTTAGTTTATATGGTCACCATTTGTTTAGGTTCAATTGGGGAGGGACATAGTGAAGGAAGTAAATATGTCAGAATTAGAGATTGATGGGAGGATGTACTGTGGAATGCTGAGAGCAGTACTTTAGGGAGAGCCAGAGTGATGTAGTGGATAGTGTGTCAGACTAGGATCTGGGAGACCCCAGTTCAAATCCCCACACTACACGGGAGTTGATGGAGGAACCCTGGGCCATCATATACTTTCAGGCAAAGGTCATTTCCTGTGGGAGCGCACAGAAGCGGAGCTCCAGCAGTAAGGAGCCCAGGGGGTGGGCACATGCAACAAGCCCCGCCCCCTGCTCCCAGCAGCCCTCAGTTGGGCCATGAGGAGCAAGAAGCAGCCAGGTAAGTTGCAGAGAGTAC